ACATTTTTAAAATTTTGTACTATAACGATGCCCAGATACTCTAAGTACAACAACTTTCATGACCACTTATATTAAAGAAGTCATTTAACAAGGCATCACGTTGTCAGTAGCTTTGCACGCTATTAAAGGGTTCTGAAGACTCGATCCTACCTTGACGGAAAACTGCGAACTTCATACACTACTCATCGCCATATCTAAAAGGCATATAAGCTTTGTAGTGATACTGAGCTTAAGCTTCGCGATGGACAAGTGATGCATTTTGGGGCTAAAGAACTCTGCTTCATAATTAACTATTATATAGTGGGTGTTGATGGTATGTTCATAAGTTTTGTTCCGAGATTTGTCATACTGTGACAAATCATACTTAAACAGTGTTGATGTGAGCAGATTACAAGTACCATTGATGAGGCTGCAATCAGTACTGTAAGAATCAGGTTGAAAGCCATACTAATCAGTTCCAATCAGTGGGGTGGCTTGTAGAAACATTTTGTATGCGACAGGCATTAGGTTTATTTTGCGATAAACCCAAATTGTAAGACGTCGAGTAAACAATTTTTAAAGCAGGTCAGATAGCACTCAGATTTCAGTTTCCAAGTAAATTAATTTTGTTGATAAAAGCAATCTTCCTGTTGATTTCACAACAAAAAGTGAACAATACACAACCTAAAGATAGTTTGAAGCAGTAATAGGGAAATGCCAGAATTGTTTCTTCTGGTACGATAGGGACATTGCATTTTTGATTCACTTTAACTTTTAACACTGCCAACTTTTGTGAACACATATGATTCCAAAGCTCTTGTGTATTCAGAAAGAGCCAACTTACTTCTAATTCCGTACAACTGTTACTCTACTAATCGTGTGCTTAATTGGTACCGCTAGATATATGCATCGCATACGCTCGTATATGCATTGATATATGTATTGATTTCAACGAGTTCAAGCTTCTTATTAAATACATAAGTATTTCTCTTCAAGTATTTCAATTCTAGAAACTCTTAATAAAATGTCATGTGTTTCGGAATGAGTGCAAAATGATAGTTGGGTTGTTTTCTAAATAATACTCAAATGCACCATTAAGTGTAGCACATGAAACTTGATAATTTTAGTGACCTCTTCTTTAAAGCGTCTCTAACAGCTTCAATTCATTTTCCTACTGATCCAGTACTTGACTTGACTATTTTCATTTTATATTCACTTCAGTTTAAATTTTATTAGTCTACTTTCCTCAGTGCATGCAATGGTTAAACGCACTTTAGCATTTTCTCGCCAACTTACAGCTCTCTGGGGATTGGAGTCAGCATCGACGTTCTACGTGAGCATTATGTGGTGTCTTAAATAAATGAAATGATATTAGAACGTAAACAGTTTATTTTAATGCGCTACTTTTCCTCTGGCCGTAAATAAAGTTGGCGGAGCGCATAAATCCGCTTCAAGATGATAAATTGTGTCGATGAGTCAGTCGGGATATTTTTTGTTTCAGGCCAAATGTGTTTGCAGTTGCTCTGGGAATGATATTCAAAATTTTGGCAGCTTAAACATTTTACGCCGTAATTACGCTAATTAACGTATAAAATTGAAGAGAAACAAAATTTTATTTAAGGTTGAGATTTTCTTTTAATTTGCAGTATAAAAAATCGTAAAATTTTTGGCTTTATAAATTTTGTATGTTTTTGTATTTTGAAAAGTTTCCTTTAATATCCTTTCGTATTGCACTTTTGTCCAAATTTTGTATCTAGATTGTTATTCAAAAAATTAGATTTTATATTTTCTTGTCCTGGCGGCTATTGTTTTTGTAAATTAAGTATTCGTTATTACCCAACATAAATCCTAGAAAAATAAATATTATTTTGTAATGTTGATTATTCGCAAAGATAGTGAAATTTTTCTTCACTCTAATAAAACTTTCACCTACTTCGGACAACAGACAACAATTTTGGTGGCTAAATAAATACCGAGACGTATCTGTACTGTGAAACAAAAATATTTCAGAAATTTATGCACTTTTCGCATGCCAACTTTTCGAAAGAGTAAAAGTGTTAATCCACCGTTAGCACGGGAAGTCATAGAGGAAGGAGCTCACCAAGCAGGGTAAACGGAAGAAGAAAAGTAGCAAAATGGCTGCATTATATGACGAAAGTAAATAAAAACGGTTTGTGCTACTTCGTGGTGAATGACACAGACGACAATTGTAACGTCGGAAAGGCCAATGAAGAGTATACCATTCTAGCTAAGTCGGCAGTTCTAAATTTTTTTCCATTCGGATTTACTGCCGCTTTTAAAGTACTGGCACACATACAATAACTTTTTGCTTCGAGGTATAGCATAGGAAGAAAAATTGCTAAGGTGGCAGAAACTTTATCAATTATGTAAATTGTAAATTTGACACCTCTGAAAACGTAAATGTACCATAAAAATTATTTTTTTTCTCCATAAAAACACTTAAATCAAATTTAAAATTAAAATACTATAGTGTGTGAATTTGTTAGTGAAATTGAGATATTTTTGCAAGATTGCAGTGTATTGTACAGTGTATATAAATATAAGAAGCAGTTGGGACATAATAAAAAATAAACAGCTCGGTTATTACCACATACGAAAAATTAGTCAACTATTTGTGGTTTTTCGTATTCGAAACGAAAAATTAGTCAACTGTTTTTCGTATTCGAAACGAAAAATTAGTCAACTGCTTTTCGTATTCGAAACGAAAAATTAGTCAACTGCTTTTCGTATTCGAAACGAAAAATTAGTCAACTGCTTTTCGTATTCGAAACGAAAAGTTAGTCATTTGCTTTTTGTATTCGAAACGAAAAATTAGTCAACTGCTTTTCGTATTCGAAACGAAAAATTAGTCAACTGCTTTTTGTATTCGAAACGAAAAATTAGTCAACTGTTTTTCGTTTGCATGCTTGCTTGTGTGAACTGGGGTTCAATTACTACTGATGCCACAAGTGATCATTTCAATGATCATTAGTAATGTACCTCAACACTTATACATTGTTTAATCGTTCAAAGCAGTGCTATTCAGACCAGATAAGATCGTTCATAGTAGTGCTATTCAGACCATATAAGATCGCGAGCCAATACAAATCACTGAATATGTTAGAGAACCTATACTTACATTCATAAAAAATGATAAATTTAGTTTTATTAAGTCTTCATTAATTTATCTTTACAATTCTATCAATTTTGATAGTGAATTGATAGTTCCCTCACTTCTAACATATTTTTCTGTAAATAAAAAATCATGCACTAGAGGGTTAATACTCTTTGGTTAAACGGTTTTGAAAATGTTCAGTCATTGGTTTTGATTTTTATCTCATACTTTGTCGGTTTAATAAAAAATAATAATTAACATTATATTGCTTTAAAAGTGTTTTTAAATAATTTTTGAAAATACTAATTAAAATTTGTTGGTAATTAATAATAAATTATGCGACTATCGATTTTTAAACCCTACAATTAGCATTATATAACTTATAAGTTTTTTGAAAACTTGGAAAAAATTGTTACTTAGTAGATTTATTATAATAGAACTAAAAATTAATATTTAATAACACTGTTAAGCTTGCCCCACCATATAAAACACTAAAACTATAAAAATATAAAGATACTAAAAAGAAGAAGAACATTGTCACTATATCCAGGACTAGCTATTAATTGCTTCGAATATATATTTCTTATTGGAGTCCCTGCCATAGACCCCTAGTCGGACAATATGCAAGTATACATATCAATTTCAAAAAATGTGATACAAAAAATAAAAAAATTTAACACAAAAACTAATATATATACATATAATATATATAATATATATAACAAACATTGATTGAGGAGAGTATTGAGGAGTCCATTGAAGCTTATTGTTAGTCATGGCACAAGTGCGGTTCTTTAAGTTAATTATAAAAGGACTTATCAACAATTTAATTAACGTACAAATTTAAAATTTTATAAATGTATATAAATATAAAAATATATTTATATATATTATAATATATATGTAATATATTTATATTTAAAAATGTGTACAAAATACATTAATAATATTAGTGTTATATCAAAATCTTTATATAAATCCACTCTCTGCTCCAAAACTAGAATTAACTCTTCTGTACGTAACTTTATCATTGGGTTTCCTAAATTTAATTCAAGATAATTTTTAGTTAGTATTATTACTAACAAAATATTAAAAAAAAAGAATAATTAATTAATTAAAACAATAAATAAAAACAAAAATATAACAAAATTATATAGTTTTTATAATCTGTAGATAATGTTGCCAAGCGGAGGATTTATCGTTAACACACCCTCTTCTCCCAAATACACGATTGACCCGTGGTAGTATCTTCGACAAATAAACTATTAATAAAATAGATATTAAAATTAAAATAGATAATTTTTTTAAGAAAACCATTAGTATAATAATAATAATAATAAAAATAAATAATAATAAAAATTTTTATTACAGTCATGTAGCCTATATCTCTTTTTTAGGGAACATAACATATTTCCTCACAACATAATATGATGATGTTGATCAAAACCGCCAAATTCCTTATCAAATACTTAAAAGCAGGGTACTAAAGCAGAATTTCTTCTCTTCCAGTTTTTGTTCGGGTTAAAAACATAAAAAATATATCAGTTCGGTTCCGGTATTCGCTCTGACAAAAATGTTACTTTTTCGGTTTTCGGTTTGGTTCTAGCTTAAAGCCCTTCTTAAAAGTATTTAAAAGTTTTTATTGCCTATCATAAGGTAACATCACTTCGGTTTAATTGAAAGGTATTTTATATCTAAAAATTTTAACATAGTTACTTTACTCAAATCGAAATGAAAGCGTTTAATTTTGCATTTATTAAGCTATATATAATGAAGCTAAAAGGTTTAAATAAAATATTTTTTATATTAATTTGTTTCATATATATAAGTTATGTAAGTATTACATATATAAAAAAATATATGTTAATGAATAATTATAAGAACATCATGAGTATATTTTCGATAGGTCAAATCTGGTGTGGAGTTCACAAATATAAAATGCGTCTCACTAGACAGGAAATTTACTGAGTTTGAGTATTGTTTCATAAAAGCTGTTAATCGGACTTATAAGTATATATCAGTTAAGGCAAAAATGTATCAAATTGCTGATAGTAATCTTGAGGTAAATGTATATGAGTTTATAAACATATATATGGTGGATATACTAACTTTTTCACACTTTCGAATTTCATTAAGGTAAAATTTCAATTTATGAAAAAAGAAAATGGTTATAAGCCTTTTCTATATCGGAAAACCATTGATGGATGTAGATTTATGAAAACGTTTTATGACCCAGTGGCAAAATTTTTCTATGATTTATTTAGCCCCTACACAAATATTAATCACACATGCCCGTTTGATGTAAGTTTAAAGCATATATATTTATATACATATATCTATATGTGTATATTATTGTAATTTAAACGAAATAATACAAATCAAACTTTCCTCAGCACGATTTAATTATCGACAAAATGGATGTAGTTTCAACGAACTACAAATTTACGAGCTTACTGCCTTTTCCGAGAGGTGAATATGCATTTTTTTCTACTTGGAGTGCCCATCAAAGGGCTATTGCTGAATGGAATTATTATTTCAAGTTATTTTAGAATGTCTACTCATCTCTTTAAAGATCTGTATTTTATTGGTGAATTATTATAATCGGTATTATTAAAGTAAATAAATATAATACATAAATTCATTTATAAGTTTATTCATATAAATTTCGTTTCAATATCTTCTAAAATCTTTTCTAGTCTAAAGAATTATTTTTATTATTATTTATTATTAATTATATTTGATTTGATTATAAAAAAAAATATTTTTAAATAAAATTTTAATTTTTTGTGATAAATTGATTTTTCAATTGATTTTCAATAGAGTGATTTTATCTAACAGTGCTGAATATCAACAACATTTAATTATTTTTAATTAATTGAATTTTTTTGTTTCGAGTATTGCCAAATACTCATCATCAGTGGTCTTAGAATAATTACTTATATTTAATTATTCGTTAATAATTTTTTGAGACTGCCAGTACCAAGGGTTATACTTGTGCCCTGCCAAATTTAAAGCTCAGAGTCAGAGTTCATTAAACAATTAACCCACTCACATATATTATATATTAAACATTATCAAACTACTAGTCTTGGATCATGAAATTATTTAATTCAATTCAATCATTTTACAATTATAAATATTAATTATTTGGCAGCGTTAATTAACTGCTTACCGCTATGAAATAAAAAATACCTTTTATGTCTTTCATTTTCTCTTTCACCTTATTATAATAGGGAGAAAAATGTTATAAATTTATAATAACATTATATAGTCCATTACTGAAAATTCACTTTACGTATTTATAATATGCCTTTATACGAACCGTTAGACGCTGTACCACTGTCCTCCAAAATAAAAAATTGATAATCCTCGAAATGCTTATAATTACCGACCTATAACCTGCCTTAGAGCAGGATGCAAACTGTATAGCAGTAAATGGCTAAATTAAAAACGACACTATTTTCGCAGATAAATAAATTACAAATGATAATGGCATTGATGATATTGTAACCAAACAAGCAATAAAAATCAAAAAATATTTACTCGCTACGTTTATTGATATCTAAAGTCTTCGATTCCATAACTAACCCCGAGTTCATTGAAACATAATAATTTAAGGTGACTTTCTTAACACAAATATTCGTGCCGGTCTCAATCCAAACAATCTACCTCTTAACCAAATTATGAATGGATATCAGTTTAAAACTTAGGCACATAAAACACTCCCTACTATTCCTACATGGATAAGCGTAAATAGAAGGTAATGTCATAAAGGTACTTCAAATTCTTGAAATAATATCTATATCGAATAATTTACATGAATATTTGGGTAAAAAACTTTTGTGGAAGATGGGTACGGGTACCGCGTTTGTTCCCAATTGATCAAAAACGACAACGAGTTCTTTAATAAAAACAGCTTGGAAATATGTATGCACAATCTAGTTGACTGTGAGCGAGTAGAGTCGAGAAGTGACAATTGATGAAACATGGATCCATTACTTTACACTTGAGGGAAAACAACAAGAGATTGGGTAGAGTCCGCGGGTAGTGCTTTCAAACGACTGTGACGAATTTGAACAATAATATATGTAGTATTCAGCACAAATATATTTTATTGGTGCACATAAATCACCAGATATTACGATTTTTTTCGGAATACTGATATGTTGAATGTTATGATAGTGCTGCATAATAGCACTAAATATTTTTAGTATGTATGGACACATATATTAGTCCTTCTTTTGGAGTATAATAATGTATTATTGTTTATATGTATGTTGCTAATTCATTTTGATCATATTGCTTGTTTCGTTTCTAAAGATGTTTTGAGCCAGTGCACTTAAGCATTTATACTCTTTTTTAACTTGAGGTTTTAGCTGTTTCAGTTTTAACATTATTTTTTTAAAATCTTGGAGTGATACGAAATGTCGCTTTTATCTCAATAAATAAGAGATAAAAGTAAATGGTTCCATTTACCAAATTAAATAAGGTAAAAATTGACAATATTCTAACTTCAAACAAGACTTACCGGTAGGAGCCAAGAAAAAGGTCTTTATATAAATATTTTCAATGTTGAAACTGAAAACGGGAATATAGTATTATAAGATTTGGAATTGGGCATGGATGTTTTATGTAGTTATCTTGTAGGTGCGATAGTGTGTTAGTTGTAGATAACAATACAGTTTGAAATTCGCTTTTCTGACTTTGTTGAAATCAAATTTTTTTGAATGATTATATATTAAAATTTAATATTAATTTATTTATTCCAGCAATAATAATTTTAATGTTTTCCACAATTAAATTTTATTGAAATACATAAATCAACTAATATCACGAAATTTTTCTAAATACTAATATTTACAACGTCACGATAATGCTGCATAATAGCACGAAATATTTTTAAAATGTGTGGAAACGCTTTCTGTATAAGTACAAAAGTTTATTACTTATCATTAATACATATTGATTATAATACTTGTTTTAGATCATGATTAGGCCGTGCGACTCAGACTAATCGAATGAGCTTTAATAGTCCAGAGATCGATGTCGTAGATTTCTTATGTAGTTGTAATCGTTAAAATGATTTATTTGTAATATATATTACATATTCGTACATATATATTGGAAATAATAGAGATAGAACTTCTCCTAACTAAAGGAACTATTATAAGAATTTTTTTTAGATATTACCCATATATCAACTGATATGAACTTTAAGTGTTTGCTCAAAAAAATAAGTATGCAATATTAAAAAAACACAAACTAAGAAATATTTTGTTTGGATGTTAGTTGGAAGCATTGGGGTGTGTGATACCAATTTGGCTTTACTTCTGATCTTTCTTTTAAGATTTGTTGCTTTCAAGACATTATTCATTGGTATTTGGATCGTTCGATGGTTACTCTAACAGAGATGTGATTTGTTAATATTTTTTAAACGTATGATTATCTATTCAACTTTTAATTGTTAGTTCTTATGAAGCAATCTTAACAAATCTAGCGACTTTAATAAATCGATACGATAGCTGGCGACAACATGTTGGCTTGTAATGGAACCCATTGAATTGTATGATAAAAATTTACCGGTAACCGACATGAATGGTTTTAAGAGGATTGCTTAACAACTTAACGTGATTCAATTAGTTTTTAACATTGTTTTAGAACTCATCTTGGATGAGTTTTGTCTTTGATACGGTGAAGTGTCTAAAATTGGTGGTTAATGTAATACACTCAGCCAAAATGTCAAACAATTAGAGTCAATCACTTCATTCTGGTCTTTGGTGTATATGAACCCATGCAGAGAAACTGCACACTATCTCTGTGAATGCTGGGCTTTAGCATCCAGAAGGAATAGGTTTTTAAGAAGGTACTTCTTTGACAGGTTTTCAGACGAAGTTGTAGAAACCTTCAGGAAAAAACACTTTCTGAAACACTTTTTCTGTGAATGCCTGGATTTGGCAGCCAGGAGGAAAAGTTTTTTTGGAAGTTACTTCTTTGACAGTTTATCAGACAGAAGTTGTAGAAACCTTCACGAAAAGACACTTTCTGAAACACTTTTTCTGTAAATACCCGAATTTGGCTTCCAGAAGTAATAGGTTTTTTGGAAGTTACTTCTTTGACAGTTTATCGAACAGAAGTTGTAGAAACCTTCTGGAAAAGACACTTTTTGAAACACTTTCTATGTGAATATGGTACCCTGATTTGGCATCCAGAAGGAATACATTTTTTGGAAGTTACTTCTTTGATAGTTTTTCAGACAGAAGTTGTAGAAACCTTCAGGAAAAGACACTTTCTGAAACACTTTCTTTGTGAATGCCCTGATTTGGCATCCAAAGGGAATAGGTTTTTTTAGAAGGTACTTTTTCGACAGTTTATCAGACAGAAAAATTGCTAATTGAGGTATATGGAAGTTATATGATGGCCTACAACAGAAATCAACCAACCAATCAACAGTCAATAATTGCTTTGAAAGTATTTTTCTAGCAGAACGAATTTAAAATGATTTTTAGACGTGATTCCACATTACGTACCATTTCAACTATATACATTGTTTAGTTCCTCAACCTTAAAGGGTTGTGAAATCAACGGCATTGTTTAGTGAAAATTTACTGTCAACAAAATCATTGCAATCATAAATTGCTTTTATTTGTATATTTTGCTTTGATATCATAATAATTTACTTATCTTAACTGTCAATTATTTCACGTATTATCTCCGACCTTTATCTATTCACACCAACTCGATGTATATCTGTATTTTGTGATATTTATTACTTAATAAATTATATATAAGTATGTAATGATACAAGTTTTAATGCAGTAATAAAACAGATACTTGAATTTATGAGTTATAGTTGCGTACAATTTATTGCAATGCTTTTATATATATAGTTTTTGTTGTTGTTTGATATATAATTAATCAAAGCTCAAGGTTTTGTGACACTATAACAAACATAAAGACAAAAATAAATTATTTAAATGAATTTTTTAATACAAACTAATATAAAACTGCTCATTTGTGTTCAATATACAAATGCAATATATAAAAATTCAGCTGAACACTAAGATGCTTTTTATTCTCCACCATTTTTTTTTTTGAGCTTCTGACTTTAACGTTAATGGCATTATTCACTATATAAGGTGTATCACGTTGGATAGATAAAAGACTTTCTGGAAGTAAATTAATTCTAAACTACTAAACCTCTTTATCTAATTTGAGGGTCTCCATTATGACTCTTCTAAATCGTTTCATCTGAAAATTTAGTTCTTCATACAATTAAACTAGTTCTCATATGTTCCTATTATTTACACCATAACACAAATGCAGTTCAATTGCAACTGCAATATGCAATAGGAGGCTGCAATCATTTAAAAAGTGCTTCATTTTACTGCCTCTACCATGTTGTGCTCTTTTCCTTGCTCGGTAGTGTTTTCATTCAAGTAGTTGAAATGATACAAAAAGTTGTAAAGAATCACTTGACTGTGAAAATTACAGCTGCCACTTGAGTTCAACAAAAGGGGGCAAAATAAGAAGAAGAGAAAAAGTCAAATACTCTCATACTCATATAAAAAAAGGATGAAAATTTATATACTTTAAAATAAATTTTTATTTTTATGTAGTACATCTGTTATGCGGCAAACGGAATCGCTGCGACAAAGGCAAGCCCAAAGGAAGTTCTGCGTTGCAATGGATGACAGTTGCATGCAATCATGTTGAAATTAATCAACATCAACAATGAAAGGAATAAAGTGCTACATGCACGCGGAGCAAGGACAACAGCTTGACTAGCTGCTGCAATCAAATGGACAAGCAAGCAAACAGACTTAATGCCTGTTTTATTTAAATGATGGCATAAATTTCCTTTTAAGCCAAAATAAAATTAAGTAATTTAATTTTGCATAAATATTTAGAAAAAAGTCTTTTTTTTTGACTTTTTTAAAACAAAAAATAATAGACCAAATATTTTCTTTAGTAATTTTTTGTATTTACTTTCATGACAACTTAACATTTTAAAAAAGAAAATTATGCAATATTATATATATATGTATCTTTTGTAAAATATATAAGTCACTTGCAACTTCCCATATCCAAATCGTGTTCCCTATAAAGTTAAAATCCTTTCTCATATCGCATGTAATGTAAGCAAGCTACTCCAGGAAACATTTGACATGCTTCCTTATTTTAAATATAAAACAAAGAACAAAGAAACCCCACAAAAAACCATGCAAACTTCATAAAAATTTATTCAAAAATTTTATTGTTTCGACCGTCAGCGATTTTTTGTTCGAGCCTAAAGACGATTTTCCAGACCCCTTAGTCGTTTCATTTCTACAGCTGCGATGAACGTTTATCTTCCATTTGCCTCAATGGCTATTTTCAGTTGTTTGCTTATATTCGCTTTATACGTACATAAAAGAAAAATTAATATTTAATCTGCCTTGTAGGTTTGTGTGTTTTTCGTTATAAAAATTCATATTTTATCAAATTCCAAGCGACATGCGATATTTCGCTATGAAATAGTGCGGCACCTGTACGACAGGTTTCCGCTTCCGGATATTTTTGCACCAACCAATTTATTATTTAAAATCGACACATTCGATATGCCGTGCAGTTGCTTCCTATACATGCAGAGAGCTTCACAGACATGTACAAATGAAACTGTTTGCAAATATTTATTTTTCTATTAAGAAATAATTAAGATACTAAACTCAGATACAGCAATGATTTATATCTTTTTAAAAGAAGAAATTTATCAAAAAAAAAAAAAATTAAAAAAAAACACTGCAGTGAGTATTTCACAAACACCAATCGGTTCAATTGGCCCTGGCTATTAGCCTCTGAAAATTGAGGAATAATCTTAATAGTTCCATTTTTGCGTAAGACCATACATTTGATAAATTTTAGTCCTTAAATAATTATGTATATGCATTTAACTTGATTATTTATTTTTATAAAGTCCAGTTATAAAACTGTTTTCTGAGAGATTGACTTCAACACTGTCTCGGAGATTAAGATCGTGTATGGTATGATACGAAGATTGGATCAAACAATATATCGACAAGAAATTATACTTCTGTATACTAACTTGTTTTAATTATGGTACTAACAGAAATATAGTTTAGTTCAATAGGTAGCTTACGTGACCAAAGACTTTTTGTCAGGGAATTGACATAGTGACAAGCGTTGGATTTGAAAATATGAGATCCTTGGTTCTTAGCTAGTTCAATTCCAGAAGATATAATTGCTAAAATTTTAAACCCAAAAAAAAAATTTTTAATTTAAAACTAGAAAAAAAACACAAAAAATGTAAATCCAGTAATAATTTTTTTATATATAATGAAACATTTTATAATAAAATTTATACGATCCTCAAAACAATATATTTGCCAACAAAATTTTAAAATATGAACACATAAACTATATATAGTTTGAAGATCCGGGAAAAACGCAATATTTCTATTAAAAACGCAATATTCTATTCGCTTGGCATGACATTTACGCTTTCAGTCTTCAAGGCTCATGTGTATCAAAGACGATTGCCTAATTTTATCGAAGATGTCCTTGAAGATAGTCATTCATTTGGATCTGCTGGTCTTTAGATATATATCGCCAACTTGTGTTTAAAAATGGATGGATAGGTCCGTTTTGAATTGGAAAGAACAAAAGAAAGATTTGGGCATTTTATAGTTGGAAATTGATCAGTCTACAATCAAGGACGTCTTCAAGACATACTTCAAAGCCATTAGATCCAAATATTCGTCTGTCTTTCAGAAGATTTTTGAATAAATCAGCAAAATGTCTTGAAAAACATTTTAAGTATACTAACACAAGTTAGTGTTTTTGAAGTTCTTAAGTACTTACACAATAATGCCGACATACCTTTGTCTATGCGACCCTATGGTATGATTAGCAGATGATGCTGATTGGTTTAGTTTTGACAAGAAAATTGATAAAGTAAAATAAAGTCTGCAATTGATACCAGGTTTAATATATGACTCGTTTAATTTGTGGGCTATATAAATATTGAAAAAACTGCACATGCACTAAAATTGGACGTAACTTATTAGTATTATAATATACCAAAAAAATGAAAAATTCCAGTTAATACTGGATTTGGTCAACTTTACTGGCTGTATAAGGTCCAAAATCTATGTTATTTATTGGAAAAAGAGTACTCATTTACAAAGTAGCCATGGTTTCAATCTGGAAGTTCGGAATATAGATTTAGGGAACAATATCCAAAGCGAATCGACGGCCTGTTTAGATATTGCTACTAAATATTCTTCTAAGAATCTCAACAGCTGGCCTATGTAGAAAATTGAAAGAAGATATTAAACAAACTAGTTTAAAATACTCCTGAAGGCTATTGAACCATTTAACTTGCAAAATTTGACTATAATGGATCAAAGAGAGATGCACAAAAAATGCCAGAAAGACCGTATAGTTATGTATAATTACTCTAGTCTGTTCGGACATTTTCTGGACAAGAAAGAACTTTGTATTAGAATACTTGTGAAAATTTCAAGGATACACTGTTCTTTATTGTCAACTGAATACAATATCATTGAACACTATTAATGTAGCAACAGTAGTAGAAAATTCACAACACTTTTTCACGACTTTATAATACCTTATCAGTAACTTGGCAAAACAAACACTACTTTAATATATTCAGGTTTCAGGGTATATTATATACGCATTGATTTAAAATTCATAGAGCGTATGTCAGATAATATCAGAAATTCTCTCTCATATATTTATCTCCCAGTGAAGCATATGGCCTCTATCATCTTTTTATATCGTCTTCGGTTATTTGATTCACGGCATATATGTCACTCCAGGAGTAGTTCGCTTTTCTTAGTTATTCTTCAATTGTTCTTCTACAAGTTTTTGCCGGCGCTCCAGGACGACGACTGTCTTGAGGATTCCATTTCAGAGTTTGACGTGCAATGTTTCCGTTGGGTCTGCGTAGATTGTGGCCTATCCAACGCCATTTACGTCTGCTTATCTCCATAGTAGCAGATGATTGATTTGTAACGGCTCATAGGTTGGTGTTTGTGATGCGGTTGGGCCACCATATTTTTAATAATATTTGTAAACATTTGTTCACGAAAGTTTGTATTTTTGTATCAATCTCTCTTGTTCTTTTTCAGGTCTCATACAATAGCACAGACTTTACATTGAAGTTGTAAATACAAATTTTTGTGGGGGTGAAGATTTGTTTAGAGCGTCACACAACACGCAACATGCCAAATGCAGATTTAGCTTTTATGAAAAAAAAATCAATGTCTTGGTCCGCACCACTCTTAGTTGCGACTATGCTATCTAGATAATTGAATTTATCTACGTATTCAAAAATACTAGTAAATCTCAAGAACCATTAATATTGAATGAATATGTGAAAGTGCTACCCTTGAACTATGCATATTTCAACACTTTAAATATATACTAGTAATCTTGGAATTAATTCTGTATTTAATTTAAGCTTACATCAGTTAAGTAATACATTAATATCTATATATAAATATTTATTAATTAAAATTATACACTTAAATAAACTTAAATCAATATAATGTCAGAAGCACTTCACACAGATATTATCGCACAGATATCTTCAAGTACTTATACGTATAACATCAAAATTATTTGCATAAAATCAAGGCAATAGTAAATAAAATATCAAATTACTAAAAATTGTTAAAAAATTGATATATTTAATGTCCTTGTGGCATTCAATTAACTACTCGAATGAAAATGGAATAAGTTACAGAACTGAAATTAATTTAAATTATCTCAAAGTAGCAAGCTACTCTTCTACTCTTCTAATGAAGCTGCGGTGACTGCTTCTGACACATATCGTCCTATTTACTGATGTGAAACTTAAAATTTTATCTAAGCGTTAAAAAGATGAATGAATGTCATTAATTTTAGTGAACAGGAAATTAAAGATGTGGTCGGGGTAAATATAAACGCCGCTTCCGCTTAAGTCTGTCATTACATGCTGCCTCGGCTAATGGCTGTCAGGTAGTGCAAATACATAACCGACAGTTCATAAGTCAATGTATGTGAGTTTGTGCGGCTTTAATTGCACATGTGTAATGCCATTTCGTCCTCGATAAGAGGATGTACACGCCTCCATGGTTGCATATACGGCTTGACGTGTTATATATTTATCACGTCTGCTGTCATATTAAACATGACAAACGTTTCTGTTACCTTTCATACTCGTACAAATTGAATTGGCGTTGAAACAGCATTTTCGCTTATTTGATAAAATGACAGTAAGCAATGTGTCAAATTAGTTGGTAATTTTCTTAACCTTGACACAAATACATTAATTTTAATGAGAAACCAATATTTAGAATTAAAGTCTTCTTTAATTATGTTGTTTTTGCAGTCATCCATGATCCCCTAAGTAAGATTCAGTCAAATTATTTGAAGTTTATACTTTGATGTTAATATAGAAAAAATACAAAAAAAATGGAGCATTAACCACATACTATGAAAATTGATCTCATCATTTTGTTAGAGAAATTGTATCTCATGTGGTAAAGAAAATATGAAAACCAACATATGGTATGGTTGAACCCACATCACCCACACTCGAACAGGAATATTTTGACCTGAGATTTAGTTAAAACCAGTTGAAATCCATCAAATTATTTTTTTGAGTGTTTACTTTAAGTAGTAGTATCAATCCAACGTATGACTTTAAATACGTCTTTTAAATTGATATTA